TAACTTTTGGTAGTCAAATTTGTTAATTTCAATGTTAAAATTTTCCACTAACATATACATACACATGGCAATATGGTATATACATGTATATAGTACGTAGTAGTATATATACTGATTTTGCATAAGAAAAGCAGGTCAAGTTCGTGTTCAAAACCACCATTCAAGGAACATTTTCGCTTAAAAATGTTTCAAAAAATTTCTTGTATCCCTGTTTATTAACTACTCCTAGACTTTTGATTGTGTATGTATGCACATGCTGCAACTACAGCAGCCATAAGTAGGGTGCTCCCACAACATTTTTCTAGCTTTATTTGTAATATACACATAAATAATTAATGTAATGTTCAATTTATATGAGAACATAGTAAGGATAATGATGATAAATTAATTATTCAGTTTCATTTTCTTACCTCAATTCTAAAACCATCTTTTTTTTAAAAAGTAATAATAAAAAGTAATTTCTGATCTACGATTTTTTTATCCTTGTTAATATGATTTCACTTCATATATTTATGACAATATTCAACTTTAATAGTACACTAGAAAAAATGTTGTAACTTTTACTAGTCAAATTTGTTAATTTCGACGTTCAATTTTCTACTAACATATTCATACACATGGCAATATGGCATATTCATGTATATATACTAATTTTGCATAAGAACTTGAAGGAGGTCAAGAAGTAGTCGTGTTCAAAACCATCATTCAAGCAACGTTTTCACTTAAAAATATTTCAAAAAATTTCTTGTATCACTCTTTATTAACTACTCTTGGACTTTTGACTCTGCGCGCGCGCAGGCTGCAACTATCTGCAGCCACAGGTAGGATGCACCCACAACATTTTTCTAGCTTTATTTGTAATAAACACACATAAATAATTAATGTAATGTTCGACTTATATGAGAACATGGTAAGGATAATGATGATAAATTAATTATCCAGTTTCATTTTCTTACCTCAATTCTAAAACCATTTTTTTATAAAAAAAAAATAATAATAATAAAAAGTAATTTTTGATCTATGAATTTTTGATCCTTGTTAATATGATTTCAGTTCATATATTTATGACAATGTTCAACTTTAATGGTACACTAGAAAAAATGTAAACTTTTGGTAGTCAAATTTGTTAATTTCAATGTTAAAATTTTCCACTAACATATACATACACATGGCAATATGGTATATACATGTATATAGTATGTAGTAGTATATATACTGATTTTGCTTAAGAACTTGAAGGAGGAGGTCAAGTAGTCGTGTTCAAAACCATCATTCAAGCAACATTTTTGCTTAAAAATATTTCACAAAAATTCTTGTATCGCAGTTTATTAACTACTCCTGGACTTTTGACTATATGTGTGCGTGTGTGCGCACTGCAACTACCGCAGTTATAGGTTGGGTGCACCCACAACACTTTTCTAGCTTTATTTGTAATACACACACAAATAATTAATATAATATTCAACTTATATGAGAACATGATAAGGATAATGACGATAAATTTATTATTAAGTTTCATTTTCTTACCTCAATTCTAAAACCATTTTTTTTTTTTTTTTAAATAATAAAAAAAGTACTTTCTGATCTATGATTTATTGATCTTTGTTGATATGATTTTAGTTCATATATTTATGACAATGTTCAACTTTAATGGTACATTTGTAACTTTTGGTAGTCAAATTTGTTAATTTCAATGTTCAAATTTTCTACTAACATATATATACACATAGCAATATGGCATATACATGTATATAGTAGTATATATACTGCTTTGGCATAAGAACTAGGAGGAGGTCAAGTAGTCGTGTTCAAAACCATCATTAAGGCAACGTTTTCGCTTAAAAATATTTCAATTTCAAAAAATTTCTTGCTAATATAGTAAGCAAGAACAGTCCATTCAAATACAAGAAGGGCAGTCTGTCTGTCTGTCAGTCAAGTAAAAGTTTCACACCAAGTTTAATTAATTGCCCATAGCTTTCTCCTATAAATCACTCAATATTACCCTTATCCGAGTCAAAAGACCTAAACTACCCTCCATAGCATCCAGTATCCAGCCACACCCACTCAGGATAAGGGGGCATTCCTGGAATGTTTAATATTCCTGGAATATTGAACATTGACAAATTCAAATTAACAACGTGGGAACCCACGTATTGTCACACATATTAATCGTCCGCCACCCCCTTATATTCAAAACGCATGCACGACCATGACCACTTCAAATGAAATGTGCTTGGTCAACACGAAACCCCATTCAACACCACTACTAACTTTATATTAAGTGTTTCGCCCCCTCCAACTACACAAACCAAATCTAATTCCACTATAAATACTCACAAACTCAGCCATACTTTCTCATACATATATATCCTCCTCAACCCACACATACATACCACATATAAGCTATATAGCTCTAGCCTCAACTCCTCAACACACAACACATACATACCAAATAGTTTCCTTGAAAGCATTGCAGTAGAAGTAGAACCCCCCCTCCAATTAACCTTCACCTGAAAGTACCTACCGTTTTTAGTTTCCGGCAATCCATCAATCAACTACGTACTTACATATATTCATTCCGAATTAAGATGATTTATCCAAGGCAAACAAGCACCCTTTTGATGATGATATTGGTGGTCTTGGTAGCCGTAATGAGCCAAGCTAGGGTACTGGAGGCGACAAGGCTGTTATCAGAGGACTTTGCCGGTTCAAATCACCTCACAACGTACCCCTTCATGTATGAGAAGGCAAAACAAACCATGGCATGTTGGTTTGAAATGTTAGCGTCTGGACCCAGCCCCAGAGGCCCTGGTCACTAAATCGCCCATTCTAGATCATGTACCAGCAAGCATATACTGTACTATATATATATATATTATGTTGTACTTGTGTTTGTCAAGATAAAGAGAGATATACAATGTAAATGACTAAGCCGATCAATTCTTTATTGATTTATACATATTATGGCAGCAATGTATTACTTACTGTTTCCAAGATTTCCACACATCACATGTATACTTTCAGAAACAGTTCCAAATTTAAGACGCAATAACTAGCTCCAAGAAAAAAACTGAGTACTGCAATGCAGAAAAGATGAAATCAACAGTGAGTGGTCATTTGCTGTAAAAATATATATATAAAAAGTGAAAAGTTTATATTTGCTTATATATATGTACGCGTGTGTAGGTGAATCCGTCTGTATATATATATATATATATGACGCATGCAGCCATTACGAACGGCTCTTTCGTATAAACAATACTAGTGTACTATTGTTGGAGGTAATTAACTGCATCATAGACGACGTTCCCATGCTTGTGTACATATATTAAAGCAAAGATTTTTGGGAGGATATTTGGTTCATGAAGAGCTCAACTGCTCCTCCTTCCAACAAACAAACAAACAAACAAATAAATAAACTCACTCCTTTCTGAGCATCGGCATGCATGAATGTGAGGATCTATATATGCTCGATTCTCTTGTATTCCAGGGGAGAAAACAGAAAACAGTTATGATAGGTATGTTGTTCATGTATATTCTGATTATGTTCAGTCAATAGTGTGTTTAAAGGTCGTTAGCTTAGCTGGAGTTAAAAGGATAAAAGTGCCACAAATTTTTTTCAAGAGATTTCATTGTTATATATTGTCGTGGTATAATTTCAATATCAACTGTCTTACGAAGAAAATCACAAAAGAAATTGGATAACAAAAAATGAAAATCAACTTCATTTAATATAATCCCATAAGGCAATGCTTTGTTGAAAAGCCAGAGGTATAAACCACATGTCAGTGTGGAGATCTATGCTAAAAAAAATATCATTACTCTTCTGAATTGGGTAGAAATCATTTCATGCGAGTCTTATATTTTAACTAGACACCACAGAACTGTTTATGTGAAGTAGAGAGGATTATACAACCCGGTCCATGCTTCCATCAAACCTGTTCAAGTCTAAGAAGCCATCCCAGAAACCAGAAATTTTTGCCAGTTAATTCAAAATTATATTACATAAGCCTCTTAAAATGTGGTATAATCTAAGAATTGTTAAAGATTTTTTTTTTTTTTTTTTTAATAATAAAAAATGTTGACTGGGCAAAAGTTTGACACTCCCTCCTTTAGCAGCATTCACCAAAGTGTGGTTTTGAAGATCTGAACCTTTATACCAGCTACTTCATAACTAAAGAATCAAGAACTGGGAGACCTAATCCATGTGCCTAAAAGATTAAATCTTGGGTATTTGCAGACACTAAAACGTTGCTCGGTCAAGCATTGGCCTTTGAAGTTATATGTGGCCTAGTAATTAAGCATGCTTTAAAATACAAATACAGGTAATAGAAAAACATATAATGCCAAGTCCACCAACGGCTCTCCCCCATTATGTAATTCAAACACAATCACAATAATATTTCCAAAAACAAAAGAAAACCAAAATTAAATAAGAAATGTATCAAATTATATTAAATCTTAACTTTGTTAGTTACATAAAAATTTTATTCAGACAAATGAATAAACTATGTATTTTTTGTTTTTTGACAAAATTGATTTTATAACTCAAAAAAATAGTGAAGTTTTCAAGTACGAAGAGGAAAGAAATGGTGAAAAATGAGGCATGGAAAACCATCAACAAATAATAGATGTATTTTGTCTGCCCAGGTGCTGCTGATAAGTATTATACGATGACATATATAACTCCTGTACCAACTTTTTTTCTTTTTTCTTTTTTTAAAAAATAATAATTGTCCATTATACACTCTTTAATACAACTATGTAGCCCAAACACCCTCCTAGCATATACTTTTTCAGCACATTACATGAATCATTCTTGCAAAGTATATATATATATTTGTCAATGGTACAATATAATATACCGCAGTATAATTGCTTCCATATTTGGTCTTTTATTCCAAGTAAGAAATTGAAACTCCCAGCCCAGCAAGCAGATGAAGAAGTAGAGATCGAATGGATCAGTCGAATAAAAACATGAAAGTGTGTGAATGTATGTGTAGACCAACTCCACTCTAAATTATATTAAATTAAATTAAATTGTGGCGTTACAACAGTCTACAACATACCATTTAAGACCAAATCATGTCATGTGTATCCCAATTCTACTTTTTGAGCACATTAATTAAATCATTCTTTGTGCCTCTTTTGCCGGGGTACTGCCACTATATGCTAACAAGTCTTCTTCTATTCAACTCCCTGCCTCAACCCTTCGTCGCCCTGTGAATCTTTATACTGCAAGAGCTTCCCAAAACCACAATATGGATGTCAAAACCAAATCTTTGCACACATCATAACTGGTCTATTAAGGAATTCACCATTTCTTGGGGCAAAAAATTAAAAAAACTAAGCTAGAAACTACAGAATTTAATGGATGATCAAAGTCCACATTGTTTTCTTCAGTTTAATTATTGACGTCGAACAACTGCATCAAAGCTGAATTCATTGCCAGGTTCAAACATGGCTTCAAGATCTTCAAAGCTCTGCCCAACTCTCAAGTCTTTACCCACTGTTATACCTTCCTGTAATATTTCGGCCAAAAAAACACAAAATCAAGATGAGAATTTAGACTCCATATGTTGCAACAAAGAAGGAGAAACTGGAAAGAGGGATGCTTATAAGCCAAATTTCTGCTAATTATAAGTCAGCAACCCCAAAAATAAAAGGAAAAAAAATAAATAAGAGAAAAGAAAAGCCACTTCCATTTTTCTGGAGGACAATTGGGTAAAAGTAGACTAATTCATCTCATGCTGTTAATCACATGTCAGTGTGAGACTATGACATAAACATTTTGCAAATGTGGTTTTCCTTTAACACCCAACGGAAACAAAGTAAGACAGAAAATTTATGGCGCACACATATCTGGAGTTAGATGGCGCTTTTAATTACAAGAGCATGTGGACTGTAGTAAAAAAATCAAATATTCAATGATGCTATCTGTTAGAAACTACTACATTCCATAGTCACCAGAACCCCATCAGGAGCTAATACTACTCACTCAAATGAATGTAGATCCTAATTGATCAGCTGATAGTAACCCACTAATACCTAATATTAAAAAATGCAGTTCTACAATGCAAGATTTAAAGATCCATACTGTCGAAATATGGGAATTCCCTACAGGAAAATTGCAAAATCATCCAAGTTTATAAAGTGGTTGGAAATCAAATGAAATGTGAACCCAAATGTTTCTCTTAAGTTAAAATCCTGTCACTCACAAACGAATGATTTTATAGTATGAAGAAGTTAATTTCTTATGACTTAACAAAGTGCTAAAATGAAAAAGATAAAGATTAATAATATGCAAGATAAAGATCATACTATGTCAACAACTTCTGGAGCCGAACATACAACAAAAACAACAACCAAGCCTTTTTCCCAACTACTTGGGGTCGGCTTTTCTGCAGCCAAACATACGCGCAAGTAAACTATTATCCAAATATGCAACATGATATTAGATTTAATCGCCCGTTTATAAACCATTTTATGATCTGAACATCCGGTATGATGATTGTTCCTTAACATTCAATTCATGATTCCTATTTTGACATGCCAAAGTTAGATATTCTTCTAAACTAAAAAAACATTCTAAAATTTTAAAATGTAATCGAATACTTGAATTAGGAAACAATCTCATTTGACAAGATTTGGAAACAATCAAATAAAAAATAAATGTTAAATTTGAACTACTTTTTAAATTTAAAACCCTGGCTGATGTTAATAGCCATAAAATGTATGAAATCCAAACCATTCAAAACAAATCACTTATTATTTCCAACTGACAATATGGCATAATGATGTTAACACACAAAATAAACAGAAGCATTTTCCGAAATTAACCTTATTATGGGGCTGGGCTGAAATGAGGAAGAGATAAGTACTAACATTACCTTTTCTACATATTCAGCTACAGTAGAGTTGATTACTTTCTTGATCACTTGTTTGTAAACTTTGGAAGGTCCAAGAACTTCCAAAAGAACGTCTCTGGGTATCTGCCAGCACAATCCATAAAGCAAAATTGTTCCAACCACTTTCAAAGCATTTTGTCTATTTATTTATTTTGTGTAAATAGTTAACCTCTCTCTCTCACTCTGTGTGTGTGCGCATGCGTGCAGCTTAACCATGATAACATTAGTTCTAAACCAAACCAGTATAACGGAAGAAAATGTTGGTAGATATATATATTTTTCCCTTGATTTTAGGGATTTGATTAATTTCAAACTATTGTAAATTAGGACAAGATTGCAGGACATATTGGTTGCAGTAAAATAGGATAGATTGATTGCTTTAAATTAGGAACAGATTTGTAGGAAGATTTTTTATTCTTTTCCTTGTATAGCTTTCCCTCTTTCCTATATATACTTCTACAAGATGTTAATATATAGAGGAGAATATTTTACAGAGAGACAATTTCTACATGGTATCAGAGCAATAGTGTGAGAAAGAGAGAAAAGTTTCACGGGTCTGAGCGATTACCGCTGACCTATTCTCCTTGTCCTCCTATTCGTGTTCTCTTGGTGTGCAATTGTCTTTTGGACAACACCCTAAAGCCTTGATTATAAACACCATAGAGGTCGAAACATGTATGTCGTTACCTCTATATCTTCTGATTCTAGTACAGCACCGCCCATTCCTTCGATTGTGACAAATCAACTTGATAACATGAATGTGCAGATGACTTCTTACAAACTTAATGGGACAAATTATTCTGTATGGTCCCAGTTTGTGAAGTAGTACATCACAGGAAAGGGAAAGTTGGAGTACTTGACAGGAGTGAAGAAATAGCCGGCAGATACTGAACCTTCCTTCTCTACTTCGTTGGAGGAGAATGCCATGTTGATGTCATGGCTTCTTAACTCAATGGCTCCTGATATTAGCACCAGTTTTCTTCAACTTCCCACAACTCATGCTATTTGAGAAGCTGTGGCTCAAACCTATTTTGATGGTAGTTCTGATTCTCATATTTATGAACTGAGGCGCAGGGCAAATGAGACTCGACAGCAGGGGAAGACATTGGCTAGCTATTTTTCTGCTTTGCAGGCCATTTGGCAGGAGCTGGATTTTCTCCATCCGTGTGATATGGAGTGTGTTGGGGATACAACAAAGCTAAAGAAGAGAATTGAGAATGAAAGGACCTACGATTTCCTAGCCGGCCTCGACCCAAGGTTTGATCAAATCAGAGTACAGGTTTCAAGGCATGATAATTCCCAATCTTCACGGTGCATATGCCTATGTTCGACGTGAGGAGTTCCGGCAGGCCACCATGCGTACGGGTGTCCACAGGAGAGTTCAGCCTTGGCTACTGTGCAAACTCCAACTGCAATGGTTACCTCTCGCTCGAGGAAACCTGAGAACAAAGAGTCTTTGTTCTGTACACACTGTAATAAGGCTGGACATACTCGAGAGACTTGTTTTAAGCTGAAAGGTTATCCAGACTAGTTCTGTAAGAAAGGTGGAAACAAGGGGAACAACTCAAATTCTAGAGCACATCATACAACCTTTGATGCGCAATCTGATGCACAATCTTCTTTTGCAGCCCAGCGACAATATTCTCAAGTCCAGGTAGATAAAATGATGAAAGAGTATGCTCAGAAGCTATCCTCAAAAGAGGCTTCCTGTAACTCGGCCAATACAGGTAACTTTGGATTAGCCTTGAACACTGCTGGTCGTATTGAGTCGTCTTGGATTATTGATTCAGGTACTACTGACACATGAATCTAGATTTTTTTCTTCTTATAGCTGTCATCCTAGTACAAAAAGTGTTAAAACAGCAAATGGATCTACTTCTATTGTGTCCGGGAAAGGTTCCATTCCAATGACTTCCATGTCTCTTTCTAGTGTCTTACATGTTCCATGTTTATCTGATAACCTATTGTCCATTAGTCAGATTACTAAGTCTCTTAAATGTTCCGTAACATTCTTTGATACTCATTGTGTCTGAGGAGGCCCCGGATGACATGGGCCAGGTCCGACTCGCAAAACACAACATTCAGTCCGAACAGCTGGGTCAGCCCATAGAAAGACACTGTCATATGGGCCGAACGGGAGTAAGCCCATCAAGGGTGACCAGGGCTTACAGAGGAATAGGCCCAGATCCAGCAATCAGTAAATATCTTGTAAATATCTTGTAAATATCTATAAATAGGAGTTGGAATGAAGAGGAGAGGGGTCTTTTCGGGTTGAGGTGTAAGAATTCTAGAGAGAGAAAGAATAGAAGGAGTTTCTTGCATCTTCAATTGGCGCCGTCTGTGGGAATCGCATGGAAGTTTGGTTGATCAATGAGGAGTATCGAATGGATTCAAACCAATTCGGTTGATCGAGACTCGATCTTTGGGATTTGAATCCAGAGCTGAGCGATTGTGACCTGCTCTGGAGGAATTACAATTCTTCAAGCTTTGGAGTGACTTCAGATCTACGAGTTGTTTGATTGTGGCAGGATCTGACGGATTTAGAGTTCAGACAATTCAGATCTCGTAAACAGTGAGCATAATTCGGAGGATTAGAAGCCAGATCTAAAAAATTCCTACTCACGAAGCTCAGATCTACTCGCGAGCTTGAGATTAATGCCTTTACTCCGTTCGGGAATAATGATAGGTGAAAGCTCCAATCCGATGGAAGCTGTCCAGCAAACAAAGCTTGAAGAGTTGATGAACTTGATTGAAGCTCTCAGAAAAGAAAATGCAGAATTGAAAGCTGGACTGCAACATCGGCAAATACCTGCGGTCTCGCATCCACCTCCGGTCGGAGAAGGAGGTGTTCAATCCAATATCGCGCATCAAGGCGATCAGAACGAGAACAATCAGTCAGCTCACCACCGTGATGAAAGGATGATCGACAATTTGCCGCCAAATGTTCGTCGAGTTGAAGATCACGAAGGATCGACTCACGTTGATCCGCAGCGGGAAAGGTTTGACCGAGAGGAAGTGATGGAGGTTGATCGCCGTCGAGAGGAACGGTCGTTCGATCCGTCTTACCGGCCCTCCATGGTTACTGTCACTCATCACGGTTCGGAGGGCAGAACCGTAACTCACAGAGCTACCGCTGGACTCCAGAGGGAGAATGAAGCTCTTCGATCCGCAGCCCGGACGGTGGATTCACCATTCACCGACGAGATCTTGAATGCGCCGCATCCAAGGAAGTTTGCTATGCCAGTCTTTATTCTGTTTGACGGAACGACCGATCCGATCGATCATGTGTATCATATCCAGTTGAAAATGGCCCTGAATACGGAAAACGACTCTTTAATGTGCAAATGTTTCCCTACAAGCCTGGCCGGACCGGCGCTCAGCTGGTTCAAAAACTTGCCTAGGAGCTCCATTGGCAGTTTCAGGGACCTGTGCGATCGGTTCATAAGCCAGTACTATGGAAACAAACGCCCGCCGAAGGACATCTCGAGCCTGTTCACGATGCGGCAGCACAAGGATGAACGTCTCCAGGCCTTTCTTACCAGGTTTAATCTCACTAAGAGTATGGTGATCGAATGCCACCCTTCTACGGCAGTTCAAGCCTTCAAGTTAGCCATGACACGCGGAACTCCGTTTCACACCAGTCTGGTAGTGAATACGCCGGCTACCATGGATGAACTCAATGAGAGAGCCGATGGCTTTGTGCGCCTCGAAGAAGAGGAGGCAGCTAATGCTCGGACAACGTCGCTTGTGTCGACCGAGGAAAAGTCCAAGGCAAAGATCAGGCAGAAGCAGGCTCAGCCGCAACGTCAGACCACTTGGAAGGCCGAAAAAAGGTCCAGGGAGGAAGAGTTGATTACTCCGCTGAAGGTCACTCTGGCGAGGCTGTATCAGGAGAACAAGGACAAGTTTCATCCACCACTGCCAATTAGACAACCCCTCGAACAGAGGGATCAAACTAAACATTGTGCTTTTCATTCTGATTTCGGACATCAGACTAACGAATGCAGGAACCTGAGGAGGCAAGTGGAGATGTTGATAGCTAGAGGGGAGTTTGCGAGTTATGTTCAAGGCTCGGCGATGGAGCAGAATCGACCAGTGGAACAAATAAAAAGGAGTCATAAACAAAGCTCCCACAATTCGCAACCAGTTCGTATAATCAATGCTATCCATGGTCGACCCGAGCCTAGTGAAGAGTCAGATGAGCTGCTACGGGTGCGCCTGCGGCAGGCGCAGATGAAGAAAAGGGTCGGCAATGTGACCACTCTACACCAGCAGAGCCCGTCAATGCAGATAAAGTTCGACTGGACAGACCTGCAGCGTGTTCAACTGCCTCATGACGACCCGTTGGTAGTCAGTTTGACAGTGGCAGATTGCTTGGTGCGCAGAGTTCTGATCGATCCTGGGAGCAGTGCGAATGTTATGCCGAGGGACACATTTGACAGGCTCGACATTAAACCAGAAAGGCTCAAGCCCACCGGAAATCCCTTATTAGGGTTCGATGGGAAGAGGGTGGAACCCGTCGGGATGGTGGAAGTAGAAGTTCAAGCTGCAGAACGAGCTCTTATGGAAACTTTTGTGGTTGTGGAAATTCACCCCTCGTATAATCTCCTGATGGGAAGAGGATGGATTCACAGAGTCCGAGGTGTACCCTCAACTCTGCATCAGGTCATGAGGTGCCTCGGGCCCGATGGAGATAAAGTAATAGACATTCGGGGGGATCAGGTCGCAGCCAAAGAGTGTTATTCCGTCACACTAAAGCATGCTGGGAAAGGAAAGGCGTCCGTCCGTTCGACAAGCCCCAGATAGCAATTACAGGAACCTCCACTCGAGCAGAATAGGGTGGAGGAGTCAGCCGACTTGACCGAGGAGCCCCTTCTGGATGTGCAGATCGATCAGTCCAGGCCAGAACGAACTACCAGAGTAGGTATAAGACTGACCAGAGAAAAGCAGCAAGAGCTAGTGGATTTCTTGTCCCACAATGTCGACGTATTTGCATGGAGTCACCTAGACATGCCTGGAATTAGTCCTTCCGTATCCTGTCATTCCCTGAATGTCAATCCCAATTTCAAACCAGTGAAACAGAAGCAGCGAAGATTTGCTCCAGAACGTAATCAGATCATAGCGGAAGAAGTCGATAGGCTGCTTGATGCGGGATTTATCAGAGAGGTGCACTACCCTGAGTGGTTGTCCAACGTCGTTGTGGTGCAGAAGAAAAATGGGAAATGGCGAGTATGCATTGATTTCACCAATTTGAACAAAGCCTGTCCGAAGGACAGCTTCCCGTTGCCTAAGATTGATCAAATGGTGGATGCCACCACTGGGTATGAGCGTTTAACCTTTCTGGACGCATATTCAGGTTATAATCAGATTCCTATGGACCCCGCAGATGAAGAAAAAACTTCTTTTGTCACCGAGCGAGGAACATACTGCTACAAAGTTATGCCTTTTGGACTAAAGAATGCGGGAGCAACTTATCAACGACTTGTTAGCAAAGTTTTTAAGAATCAAATGGGTAAGACTGTCGAAGCCTATATTGATGATATGGTGGTAAAGAGTAGGAAAAAGGATGATCATCTGAAGCATCTGCAAGAGGTATTTGATGTACTAAAGCGATATGGGATGAGGCTCAATCCGACCAAGTGCTCGTTCGGTGTGAGTTCCGGGCAGTTTCTGGGACACGTGGTCAACCGCAGGGGCATCGAAGTTAGCCCCGCTCAAGCAGAGGCTTTGATTAAGAATGCCGAGCCAAAGACGATCAGAGAGGTGCAAGCCCTAACAGGACGAATAGCTGCATTAAGTCGATTTATTTCAAAATTGTCAGACCACTGCAAACCATTCTTTGACACGATTCGGAGCCATGGAAGGCAGGTCTGGGGGGATGAGCAACGACAGGCATTGACTCATTTGAAGCAATATATGCAGAATCCACCAGTCCTGTCAGCCCCAGAACCGGAAGAAAAGTTATTTCTATATCTTGGAGTATCTGGTGTCGCGACGAGTGCCGTTCTGATTCGTTGCAAGGAAGGGGTGCAATACCCGGTATTTTATGTAAGCAAAACATTGATGGAGGCAGAAAAAAGATACTCAAAGGCCGAACGGGTGGTACTTGCACTTGTAAATGCAAAAAGAAAGTTGAGGCATTATTTCGAATCCCACCCCATAGCTGTTCTAACAACTTTCCCAATCAGAACGCTCATGCACAAGCCAGAGCTCTCGGGCAGAATGACAAAGTGGGCCATAGAGTTGAGTTCATTTGACATAACGTACGAGCCGAGAACAGCTATTAAAGGGCAAGCGGTGGCCGATTTCCTACTAGAATGTGATGCCGAAGATACGGAAGAGGACCTTAGAAGCGGCTCTTGGAAACTTTTTGTGGATGGCTCCTCTAACCAGATGGGGGCTGGGATTGGGATCAAACTGCAAACCCCAGAGGGTACTTCCTTGAGCCAAGCACTCAGACTTGAGTTCCGAGCCACCAATAATGAAGCGGAATACGAGGCGTTGCTAAATGGATTAAAGTTGGCCAGAGAGCTACAGATCAAAAGTTTGACAGTGTATAGTGACTCGCAGCTGATTGTTCGGCAGGTAAATGGTGAGTACGCAACCAAGGATGACATGATGGGGGCATATCGTTCTGCCGTTCTGCGTAGAGCCAAGGACTTTGCAAAGATTGAATTCATACAGTTGCCGAGGGAACAGAATGCAGATGCAGACCATTTAGCATGCAGTGCTTCGAGTTGCGGTGAAACATTGGCGAGGGTGATTCCAGTAGGAATAGTGACCCAGCCGTCCATTTTCGAAGAACCGATGGACTCGGACCCTTGGCAAGTCAACGTCATACCGTATGAACCGAGTTGGATTGACCCAATCATTACCTATATTCGAGATGGCGTTTTGCCTATGCAAAGGGATGACGCTAGGAAACTCAAAAAGAATGCTGCCAAGTACGCCATCGTGCGGAACCAGCTGTACAGAAGGTCCTATTCTGGCCCGTACTTGAAATGTGTCACCCCCGCGGAGTCGCAGCAGGTATTGCGAGCTATTCATGAGGGTGTGTGTGGCAATCATTCTGGGGGAAGATCGTTAGCGCATAAAGCAATGACACAAGGGTATTTCTGGCCAAACATGTCAAGAGATGCGGAGGAGTTCTCTCGAAGGTGCGATAAGTGCCAACGATATGGACCAATGATCCACCAACCACCTGAGGAATTGCACGTAATGGCCTCGCCGTGGCCTTTCGCGCAATGGGGGATGGATGTGGTCGGTCCTCTGCCAACTGCAAGAGCTCAGAACAAGTATGTGTTACTGGCCACGGATTATTTCACTAAATGGGTGGAGGCAGAACCGTATCCTAGCGTGACTCAGACTCAGGTGAGACGATTTATCTGGAACAACATTATCTGCCGCTTCGGTGTTCCCAGAACAATAGTCATGGACAATGGCACAAACCTCGACAGCAGGCAAGTAAGAAAGCTGCTGGAGGAGTATGGAATCAACCAGAAGTTGGCTGCAGTAAGTCATCCTCAGGCCAACGGACAAGCAGAAATCACAAACAGAACCATTTTCGCCTGCATTAAGAAGAAGCTGGAAGATCATAAGGGGAAGTGGTTGGATGAACTCCCGAACGTTCTATGGGCTTACAGAACCACCCCAAGGCGGCCGACTGGGGAGAGCCCGTTCGCAATGGCGTATGGTACCGAAGCAGTTATACCGGTTGAGCATTTAGTCCCCACTATCAGAAGCTTAGCATGGAGTCGGGATCAGAACGACAAGATGTTAAGATTGAACCTCGACATGATAGACGAAAGGAGAGACGCAGCGGCTATAAGGCTAGCATCGTATCAGCAAGTGCTGGCGAATAGTCACAACAAGAGAGTAAAACACAGAGATTTTGCCCCTGGCGATCTGGTTCTGAAAAGAAAGGTGGGGATGGTCAAAAAAATGATGCCACCCTGGGAAGGCCCATACAGAATTGCGGAAGTCATTGGCAAGGGGGCATATACGTTGGAAACCATGGCGGGAAGGTTGGTCAGCAAGCCCTGGAACGCCACGTCTCAGAAGAGGTACTACCAATAGAAGCTAAGTTCTGGCTTTAATTGGATGTTATTTGTTGTCAATCAAATACGTATGAATGAGCAAGTTACTGGAATTTACAAAAAAAGAATTTTCTTTTCCAACGGTCTACTATAAAAATTTAAAGCCAAGTGGCAAGTGGCATTCTAGCCGAGCGCCAGGCACTTAAGCAAGATAAGTGGCAGCTGGCACTATAAGCCGAACGCCAGACACTTGCTAAAAATTTAAAGCCAAGTGGCAAGTGGCATTCTAGCCGAGCGCCAGGCACTTAAGCAAGATAAGTGGCAGCTGGCACTATAAGCCGAACGCCAGACACTTGCTAAAAATCTAAAGCCAAGTGGCAAGTGGCATTCTAGCCGAGCGCCAGGCACTTAAGCAAGATAAGTGGCAGCTGGCACTATAAGCCGAACGCCAGACACTTGCTAAAAATTTAAAGCCAAGTGGCAAGTGGCATTCTAGCCGAGCGCCAGGCACTTAAGCAAGATAAGTGGCAGCTGGCACTATAAGCCGAACGCCAGACACTTGCTAAAAATTTAAAGCCAAGTGGCAAGTGGCATTCTAGCCGAGCGCCAGGCACTTAAGCAAGATAAGTGGCAGCTGGCACTATAAGCCGAACGCCAGACACTTGCTAAAAATCTAAAGCCAAGTGGCAAGTGGCATTCTAGCCGAGCGCCAGGCACTTAAGCAAGATAAGTGGCAGCTGGCACTACAAGCCGAACGCCAGACACTTGCTAAAAATTTAAAGCCAAGTGGCAAGTGGCATTCTAGCCGAGCGCCAGGCACCTGCCGTACAAACACACGGCGAAGCTAATATAAAAAGAAAAAGAGAGAAAAGATATGTATGTACTGAAGATAAGTTGAATAGAGCACAACACATAGGGAAAAAGAGTTCTGTCATTTCATTAATATTGAACATTGAGTTTACAAAAGAGAGATGTCCATCATTACAAGAAGATATGAACTAGAAGAATTCGAAGGAGCCCTAGCTAGACGCCTCAGTACCAACAGCATCCTGGTCTTGCCGACTCGCCTCCTCGGCCCCATCAGCCGCCTCACCCTCATGAGGTGGGGAATCCAGGTGAATGACTGAATCGTTCGGCTGGGGTTCAGCGTCAACAGTGGCTATAGAAGGAGCCACGGTTGACGATTGGGGAGCGGTCAGTGGCAGAGCAGTAGGAGGAGCTGTGATGATCCTTGAGGATGCGATGTCCTGGCACTCATCAAATATACGTTCCGCTTCGGTGGGTTCTGGGTCGACATAGACCCCCAGAGGTTCGATCCCCAGATCCTTGTCTACCTCATCCGGAGTGGAGCTGGTCTGTCCCTCATCCGGAACCCGGTCGGCGAAACCTTCCCGGAATCCTTGAGCATACCGAAGAGCACCGACCCTGGAGAACCGAGCGTGAAGGGCCAGCATCCCACCACCCACTCTGCTGATCGCGTCGATCAGAGCGGTACGCTCGTCGAGAGCTCTTTTTTCAAAAGCCATCCGAGCAGACTGTTCATCAGCTAGAAGGCGCTGGAGTTCTGCCTTCTCTTCTCTAATTGATTCCCGCTCAGTCTGCCAGACGCTCTTCTCAAGCTGGAGGGCGTCCTTCTCATCCTGAAGGGAATCATTCTCCTTCTTCAGGACATCTCTCTCTTGCTCGGCTTTGTCAAGCCGAACCAGCACCTCGGTATTCTTCATGGCAAGGAGGTCGTTTTCTTTATTAGCCACCTCCAGGCTGTCAGAATACTTTCGGGCCCTGGCGTTCCCCATCTCCACCTGCTTCTGCATGGCCATCATCCCGAACAATGTCTGCATAGGTGCACATTAAAAACGGTTAAACCAATAGTCAGAACGGGCGAAGGCAGGACCAAGTAATATGAGAGAATTCATGAGTTAGAAAATAAAAGTCACCTCCATAGCAGATTGGGGAAAGCGACTGAACACGTCCTTCTGGGAAAGGCCCTTTGCCGCCTCAAGGTCCTTCGGAGTCCACATGCTCCTGTAGTAGGCCATAGCGGTCTGGCCATCCTTCAGCATGGTCTCGTTCGGTTTCACGAACGTCCCATCCGTTCGGGTGTACCGAGGGGCCCATGGCGGTAAGCTGGGGATAGAAGGGGGGCCTGAAGCAGAAGCAGAGCCACCAGCTGCGGGAGGCCCAGAGGGAGAAGGAGCTCTGATCGCTCGGTGCAAGAGAGTACCCGGCCCAGAGACCCGGGTCCTTCTAATGAGAGGCTCCTCCTCAGGATCGATTTCACTGTCAGGATGAGGCCTTTTGCCTCGTTCTTTGTCCCGACCGCCCCCCGCAGCAGCAGGAGCTATGGTAGCTGGGGAGGGCGCGTTCTGGTTGGCAGCAGGGGCGCTGGCAACAGGGTTAGTAGCCACTGCGCTCGGGACAGTGTCAGATATGGTGGCTGAAGAAGAAGCTGACGCTGGAGAGGAGGTCGCCCCAGCAGCAGGAGTGGCTGGGGGAGTATTTTTCCTCCTGCCAAAAGAGGGAATCTGAAGTCTGCTCATGTTGTAGCCGAGTGATGAGAGCGCAAAGAGGTTGTCTGAAGTGAGGAGATCTGAGCAGGAAGGAATATCGTTCAGAACGTATCTCTTCAAGTAGTTACTCCTATCCCTGCAAACACTATAGCTCAAGTCATCACAAGGTATTCCCAAGGAGCGGCATAAGTAAGTGCAAAAACGAGGAACGCATGTTTCACAGGGGCAGTCATGTTTATGGGATTTGAATTTTTTATAGGAGGAGACAGAGCAGACACCAAAGGCGCTCGGGATTGGGTAATCCTCTGCAGCCGGCGAAGACCAAGCCCCACTAATGCCCACTATGCTATCCCTCCAACCCTTTTCAGATTTTATTGTGTCAGTGCATATGGACATCTTCTCGAACGGGTAGAGGTGGTAGAAGGGCTCGTTAGTACGGATCTTACTGACCTTATAGCACAGAAGGAGGTCTATGAGGTCGAGGTCCAGATTTCTGTCACGCATCAATAAGAGCATAACAGATATGATCCTAAAGAAGTTGGGGTTGACCTGCAGAGGGGATATCCCCAATCTATTGAAGACATAACTAAAGAAAGGGTGCAGAGGGAACCTAACAACATTCAATTGAAGGTTCGTGAATAAGACTTCGCCGGGCAGGAGGCCGGCGCCGGTCGTAATATTAACGTCTTGGGGGCAAACCCTAACTTCGATGTTGTCAGGAAGTCTAAGTCTCATACGAAGAACATCCAGATCTACAACCATGGTGGAAGTGCTAGAAGAATCTAAAAGAGGGAAAATGGAAGCCTGCCGAAAGTAAAAAGAACGAAACTAACCTCGGAGGACTGCAAGATCGCTGGAAGAATGACTCTCGAAGGATTTCACCGGAAAAAGCTTAGCACTGTTCTAGAAAGAGAGAGACTTGGCTGATGATGGAGACGGTAAAGGGAAGTGAAGAGGAATTCTAGAGCATTATAAAGGCGAGGGGGCCCGAGGGCCGAAGCGTCGGGAAGGCGAGAAATCCCTCGAGCCCCGGAACATTGATTCTGGATCTGACCGTCCGCTCCCCCACGTGGTTATCTCGAGCCGTCAGCGTCATGATGAGACGCCATCAATAATTACCCCTTATTAAATAAGGGGCAATTATGGGGGCAGTTGAGGAGGCCCCGGATGACATGGGCCAGGTCCGACTCGCAAAACACAACATTCAGTCCGAACAGCTGGGTCAGCCCATAGAAAAACACTGCCATATGGGCCGAACGGGAGTAAGCCCATCAAGGGTGACCAGGGCTTACAGAGGAATAGGCCCAGATCCAGCAATCAGTAAATATCTTGTAAATATCTTGTAAATATCTATAAATAGGAGTTGGAATGAAGAGGAGAGGGATCTTTTCGGGTTGAGGTGTAAGAATTCTAGAGAGAGAAAGAATAGAAGGAGTTTCTTGCATCTTCAGTGTCTTTCAGGATCTTCGTACGGGAGCGAAAATTGGTCTTTGTAGAGAAAGAGGTGGTCTATGCTACTTGGATATGAACTGGGCTTCAAATGGAAAATCAAATCAAATAGTTGGCAGGTCAACATCAGAAGAGCAGATTTGGTTATGGCACAAAAGATTAGGACACCCCTCATTTAGCTATTTGCATAAGTTGTTTCTATCTTTATTCTCCAGAATTGATGTTTCTAATTTTCATTGTGATAGTTGTGTGTTAGCCAAACAGCATAGCACTTCTTTTCCTTCAAGTTTTAATAAAAATTATGTGTCTTTCTCAATTGTTCGCAGTGATTTGTGGGGGCCATCCCGTGTTCCTAATCATTTAGGTTCTAAATGGTTTGTTTCCTTTATTGATGACTGCACTCGTGTTTCATGGATCTATTTGTTGAAAGAAAAAGTTATGTTTTTTCCACCTTCCAATCCTTTCACCAAATGGTTTTGACCCAGTTTAACATGAAAGTACAGGTTATACGATCAGATAATGGAAGGGAGAATTTTAAGATAGGGCTTAGTGTCAATTTTCAGGCTCATGGCATCATTCATCAAATTTCGTGTGTTGATACACCCTAGCAGAATGGAGTAGCAGAGCATAAGAATTGCCATCTCTTAGAGGTTGCTAGGTCATTACTCTTTGCTATGAACGTTCCTAAAACTTTCTGGGGAGATGATGTCCTTGCTGCAGCATATCTCATTAATAGAATGCCTTCAAAAGTCCTTCAGTTTCAAACTCCTCTTCAGATATTATCCAAAACACATATTATTCCAACTCTTCTTCACATTCCACCCAAAGTGTGTGGTTGTGTTTGTTATACTCATATCCACAAACAACATTGGAGTAGGCTGGATCAGAGAGCACTCAAGTGCATTTTATATGATGTGGCTAGATCCAGTGCTGAAGCAGAATTCAGAGCCATGGCTCATGGTATATGCGAGATGTTGTGGCTGAAGGCTTTGTTAAAGGAAGTTTTAGGGATCAAATTAAGCTTTTATGTGATAACAAAACTTCCATTAGCATTGCTCACAATCCAGTTCAGCATGACCGTACTAAACAAGTTGAAGTGGATAGACACTTTTATCAAGGAGAAGTTGATAGGTGGATTAATTTGCACTCCATTTGTGAAGACAGAACATCAGCTTGTAGATTTTTTGACAAAGGGAGTGTCAAGTATGACTTTCAATTTGGCACTTGACAAGCTGGACATTCGAGACATCTATGCTCCCGCTTGAGGGGGAGTGAAATAGGATAGAATGACTGCTTTAAATTAGGAACAGATTTGTAGGAAGATTTTTTATTCTTTTCCTTGTATAGCTTTCCTCTTTCCTATATATACTTGTACAAGATGTTAATATATAGAGGAGAATATTTTACAAAGAGAAAATTTCTACAGAAAATAAATAAATGGAAACCAAAAGCTATGTTTCAAAATGAATTGGTCGTATTCCAAGGTTTTTTCAGAAATTAATTATGTTCCAAGATTGACTCCCCAATTTTCCTGATCTGTGCTATGCATCATGCAGATGGTCCTGGTCAAGTTCAATAACCAACCATGTCTGCAATGTGTGCCCAAGAGTGATGATTGAGTTATACTTGTAAAACTGTTTCCTGACATTTCTACACTAAGTGAATATATTGGGTACAACAGTGGAAAAAAGGATCAAAAAACTTACATTGGGCGTTTTTCCTGGTAGCTCCAAGTTGTTGGTCAGATATAAAAGATGCCCAATAAAACATTAAGAACCATGTTAAGCAATATGCAAGAGGAGGAAAAGGATACAGTGTAATTAAATAACCATATGAAGAAAAATAAGAAATACTTGGTTCAAGAAAATAAAATTTTGACTTTGACGATTTCTTGAAGATGAAAATCATTAGTTTCAGAAAATCCAAAATATCATGTCTTCTAAAAGATTACCTCCTTTTACTCTTCGAAAGCCTGGAATTGGCTGAGCATCAGCAACCATTTTAGAGAACACATTATCAAAAATTGCTCGAGTTTTGGCACCAGAAACCACTACGGTTATCTGTACAAAAGTCATGGTGTCAGTTGGTGGTCACAATTCAGAACCATGTTGAACATTTACTATCTAATCTATCAGAGGACATCTTGTTATATAAAGGTAATCCTAATCAAAAGTCGATCCCCATATCATCATTAGTTTCAACTTCCATGTTGATGTATATTGTTCTTTGATACGTTCTCGGTCAACATGTAACTTTTATTTTTTGTAAATAAATTTTCTTTCATACCTTCAGCTCATCAGCCTTGGTAGTACTAGTAGAAACCGAGAAGTCTTCAAATTGAGTAAAGGAAGAAACTGCAATATCTTCCAAACCTAATAACCATATAAAATGGAATCAGTAGGTAGAAAGTTAAGAGCAGCAGTTGGACGAGAATAAGAATTTGTTTCTCTACCTGATGATACAGCGCGAACAGCATGAAAATATTTATGACTAGCCCTGTAGAATAAAAAGGTAGTTCTAAAATCATAAGGAAATGTACTCACTTCACAATCACTTATCATACAAGCCATGAAATGGATTGAATTATAGTCAGAGAATGGCTGGGGAATTAAACAGTTTGGAAAGTTTAAGCACTCAGTCAATCAAGCCATCCATCAATTTAACCACCTAAATGAAAACTCAAACAATCAGAATACAGTGATAGGCATATCTATGCATAATCAACAGTAAGTTTCACTCAGTTACTTCTTATTATATGGGTGTTTACCATGTTTTGTTGTCCTGTATAAATGATATCAAGGTTTACCTTTTGATCAAACTTAAATAAATAACTTTACATTGTTTAGGTCTAATTATGCTCCCCAACACCTCTTTTATCCTAGTAAATGCATTTTAGAGTATCACCAAATGACCCGAGTCCTATTTTTTCAGCAACAACAGTGATGTCTCCATATTCAAGTTCAACTGCCAATTTGTATGTTCGATTGCTATGTAGGCTTTCTTCAGATCACCAATAAACATAGATAACTTAAAATGAAAATTCAGAAAAATAACTGGTAAACCACATTCCCTTGTCTTTTATAAAGACCCTCATGAATTCTGTATGCAACACAAAAATTTAAAAGAGAACAGCCAATATGGACGCTGCATTATAGAAAAGAAGAAAACAAACTAAATGTTTTATTTTCCAGGTTATGTTGGGTGTTGCATTTAAGAAGACATCCGAAGATATTTGTTCTCCCGAGCTGATTAGCACTGTTGTACCTAATCTGAAGTCACAAGCATATTTTCGGAAGAAAGATTTGGACTTTATAAATAAACAGAAGCTCAAGAGACTAAACCCATTACATTTGACGAAAATCTTTGGCAGTGCCTCTCATCTGAAGGGAAAAGCACGCTCTTTTGGAAGAAAAAGTAGGAATGAGGACACCTACAGTTTGCCTCTTTGTTAATATCTGCAAAGAAAAAAAGGGGGGAAATCGTAATTCATACATCATACTTGAGCAAGTGTTATAAAACAAGGCCTATGGGAAAACTTTAGAAGCACTCATTTCATGAACAATATCCAATAAAATAATACTAAGATAGTCTCTATAGTCCAATGCAGAAGCCACTACTAGTACTACTTGACCTCCTCTATCATTCAAAAGCATAATGAGCTTCTAATTTTCAGAACTGTTCCAACATCAGTTTGTGCGGAACTTGCAAACATACAGAGATTGTTCAAGAAGCATTTATTCGTAATCGATCATAATTAATTAAAAAAAAAAGAGGAGGAGAGAGGGACTCAAGCTGAAGAAAGTCGGATAGTTGTTGAAATTCTCAGATACAAAAATTAAATAAAAAGAAGGAATGGGAAAGGCGTTAAACGAGGACTGAAACCAGAATGAATGAACAATTTGTAACAACAAAATAAAATCATGTAGAAGGAATTTAATAAAATAATAATAAAATTTTGATTGCATATACTAGATAGAGCTAACATTTAGATTATTGTATGAGATAAATAGAGTTAACAAGAACCAAAAAAAAAAAAAAAAAAAAGAGGAAAACGGAGGATTGGATGGATGTGAGAATTCCTTAGTGAGAATTGATGACAGAAGACAATGGTAATTTGACAAAGAAAGCAGAATTTATGAGATAGGGGTATTAGTTAAGTTTTGTAATTAGTTGCAAACAGGTAGGTAGAATTAGATGGAAAACGAAGGAAAGAGAGAGAGAAAGAGAAAGAGAAAGAGGTGGGTATTGCTGCTACGTACCTTCTTGGGGCATAAACCCAAATGGACGAACATTGTCTTAACGGCTACTACTTCCATATCCGCTTCGGTTGGAATTTCTTCTTCTATCAGAGTAGCAATTAGCAACTCTCTCTCTCTCTCTCTCCCTCAATAATATACACACGCACTTTCTTTTCTTTCGTTTTTTTTCTTTTTTTCTGAAAGGTACAAGTTAACACCCTTTCTTTTACAAAATACAGGTTCACTTATGCCATGGGTTGGGTTGAACGTGGCGTGATTTGGACAAACAAGCCCACTAATACAATATTCCTAAAGTTACAATAATGCCCATAACCCTTTGATGTAATTACGAAGGGATTACAAGTTCCTTTCATCCATCCTATCATTCCTTGTAGCTAAGTTTGCGACTGAGAGAGATCGAAAGCAGAGCCAGAGCCAGAGCCAAAGCCAAAGCATGTCGATGATGACAATAGTAAAAAATCCTTCACTATTATTAATTCAAGGTCCCAACGTAAGAAACTAAACGCTTCCATTCTCACTACTCATTCATTCCTTTTTTGTATATAATATATGTGCTTAATTGGTTGCTTCACTTAAAATTGAGATGGAGTAATATGGTAGTGTATTGTATGCTCCAATTATATATATACACACACATATATATGCTTTAATTTGACCTGCTGATTCCTTGTTTGATGATGGTCTAATTAATTTCTACAGCATTTTACTGCTAGAAGAAGCATCCAGAATCATAACAAGCATGTTCATGTTCATGCTCATGTTCTAACCAGCCCACCAAAGAAATATCTATATGGCATTGGCAGCAGCACCTGGTAATTAATTAATACACTTCTTTTTACTACCTACTATTTGTAAACTTTGCTTTCATGTTACATTCTACCTGTTCTTGCTAGCTTATTGCCTCGTCATTTTCTCTATTGGATCTTTAACCAGCTAGCTCAACATGAGTATGCTTATCAGCCTTATCCCTATGCTCATTACTTCACTGACACACGAGATTCAATAATAAATATATATTATCTAGGAATTAAATGAGGTGTGTATTATCATGATGCAAGGGTAACAAGCACTCGCTTGCTCACTTATATACAAGGGCGGATCCGGGAATTGTTAATGGGGTCGGCTAATATTTTTTTGGGTGAGTTAATGCTAGTAATTTTTTCTTTTTTTTGGGGCTGGGCTGGGCTAAAATTCCCTCACATTTACTTCACTGTAGAACTAACTCAAATGATACACATCTTGGACTTCCTCTTTTTTCTTCACCAGTTTCACTACACTGCAGATGTTTTACCTCAGTAACCAACATTCTGTGATGATACTTAAAAAACTCACCTGCCTGCCTAAAAGATGTCACACAGATTAATATATAATCAGAAATGTTGCAACTTCTAAAAAAGCTGCCTGCTGGTTGCGTGGTGGTGTGGCACGCATTTTACTCTAGAACAATACTTGATTCATGTTCTTATGACTGACTACACAGCTAACATACTGAATTATTTCTATAATATTCCTTACATATATATATATAAGTTAATTGTTTGACTGCTTGCTTTAATCATGACTTATACTCAGTTTTTTACATGATTAAGTTGTCTGTATAATTTTCTGCCTGTCAATACCACATCAAATTTTTCGCTTCAAGCCTTGCATTCTCTTTATGGAAGTAGGGAACTTCTCTTTTCATCAGATTCATACTTCATACAGTGCACATGTAAGGGCATTATGGTATGTGATTAATTTTCAGGTTATCAAGCCCCTGTAACACCCCTGGGAGAGGTGTCAGATGCTTGTCCAACAGAATATCTGCAGTTGGTTCAGGTGATCCTAACTTCCAGTAACAAATAATAAGTATGTCCAGTTTGTCTCGTGCTTTCTGCCTTTTTTTCATGTTGTCAGCTATCAAGTGATTTTTTCATACGGTTTTGTAGGTTTAGAGGCTTCAATTACAGATCCAAAGGACAATGCAATAACCGTGAAAGATGCCAAGATTGTAGTGGAGTCTCAGGATGATGACAAGATACAGGTGAGATTCCAAGCTAAGCTTGACTTGTACTTTGTATTTCTTTTCATCAAAAGAAGTATTGGATGATCACGGGTTTATTTTCTGCCAGCCTAAGCTATAATCTCTGGAACACGGAAACCTGTTGTTGTATGATGGCCACAGCCAAATTTTAGACAAAGAGACTCAGCCACTCGTGCAATTTTGTAAATTAAATATTATGCATGTTATCTTTCTATGTGTGTAATATATTAATAATTATATAATAAGTTCTGAAACAAAATCTCGCACACCGCCTTTTCTGCTGCTCATTCTTGAATAAAGTTTACATGGTCACTTTTGTAGTTGTCCTAACAATTGCTGAAATAATGAATGGGGGTATCATGGGACGAGTGTCCAACATACCATCATCAATCTGCATATCGTAGTGTAGCAGATCTAGTATCTCCTCTTCTTACTTGTCTACCCTTTAATGCCTCATATACTTCTTGCCTTTTTTCTCCCTTTGAGCATTTTTAAGCCATTTCTTTTCCTTCTTACATTTTGGGAATAGATACTTGATGTTTTAATAAGATATCAAAACCTAATAAGTGATATTATCTGCAATACAAGGTGATATGTTTTCTTTGAGCTAAGGCAATCAGCTAAGATTTTGTCACATCTACTGTAGTATTGAAGTAATTTTAATAGCAATTTGACTCTTTTTACTACAGTACTACCAGCTCCTATGAAGATATGTCAGTCCAGAAATCATTTATCACTTTTTTTATCTATTTGCTTAACATTATTTTACTATGTTTTTTGATAAATATTGTGTTAAATTATATCATAGATTCATAACCCCAATCTTGAAGCAGATACGCTCTCCTTGGCTTAGCAGAGTCTCTTGGCTTGTTGACTACTCCGACTGTATCAAGTTTCTGTAGTGTTATATGTGTGTTAATGACAATGGCTAAAAACAATATGACTATGTCCATGCACATCTAGGTGTGTTGAGATTTTGAACATGAGTTTATGCCATATCCAATCAGACACTTTTAACAATTTGGCTGAACTAGAGGTTTAGAAAATGATGAAGTAACTAGCAAGCCCTGGAGACTAATTATGTTTGTTTTACCCAAGATAATACTTTTCCTAGTGGGGAGTCCATAGGGTTACGTTAAACTTGGTACTATGAAATGGTATACTTTCAGTTTATTCATTGGATATGGTTTTATTACAGTCTCTATCCTAAGTAACTAACAAGCCCTGGAGACTGTTTATGTTTGTTTTTCCCAAGATAATTCTTTTCCTATTGAGGAGTCTATAGGGTTGAACTTGGAACTGTGAAATGGCAAACTTTCAGTTGATCGGTGGGTGTGCTCTTGTTACTGGCTCTGTCCTAACATTTTCTATGAGTTGTTATTTTGAGACGTTCTCGTAATGTTTTACTGTCAGATAAGAGTGGACGTGACTGGGAAGGAGACACAAAAAGTATTTGATAAGGTTTTAGCAAATTTGGCTCGCACCGCACCACCAATTCCAGGGTTCCGCAGAGAAAAAGGAGGTAATAGATTTATGTTGGTCAAGTTCTTAGCTTGCTTTCTTTATTTACTTTTCGTGGAAATAATGTGGATACTATATGTTGTTTTTATGTATGTCAAAAGTAGACAACTTTCTTTCAACTTGGTGGATGTGATAACTTATCAATGTCATATAAAATCCATCCACAGTTTCTTTTTTGTCAATGGTAATAGTTGAACCATAGATCATCCCACCCCTTTAGATCCATTTATAACCATGGGATGATTAAAATTTATATGTTAATCATTATTCTCTCAAGTACTATTACTTTCTTAATTAAAATGTACCTACTTTTTTGGTTCATATTTTAGAAGTATTTATTTTGGTTCAAAGACTTGAGAACTAAAAATTAGAAAATGCATTTTAAGCTCCTTAGAGCAGCCAATTTGTGGTGAGAACACGGACTCGAATCTTGAGAGCAACCAGGTCTTCCAAGCGCCCTTGATTAACCAAGGGCTGTGTAGCCTAGTGGTACCTCCTTGCCTTCCAAAGTAGAAAGTTGAGGGTTCAAGTCTCCATAGGAGCAAAAGTGGGTGTGCGAGTGTGTTTCTTGCCTAGAAAAAAAAAAAAACGCCTTGGACTAATTGGCCATTTTTATTTTCTGCTCTTAAGCAGAATAAGTATTGTTGGATTGCTATGTTAAATGGTCCATATAAAATTCAAGTGGCAATATAAAAGGACTTTTACTTCAATATGATGTTCATTATCAACTTGCATATAGTGTTTGTAGCCTTCTCATATTCTTTTAGGATATAGGTACTTTAAAATTTTCTAAGAACATTACAGGTTTCCGCAGAGAAATAGGAGGAAATAAATTTGACCCAGTGGATAAAGTGGTTTTTCTCAGCAAAAACTAGGCAAACTGAACTTTCTAAACAATGGATGATTTCGTTTACATCCTCTGGTCAAAATAGGAAGGATAACCATAGTGAAAGTTTCCCCATATACTAAAAATTCTCAGTTTTAAAATTTTCTCTAGTCTACATCATCAATTTCTGACTCTGCTTCGTGTATGATCCAAGAGGATGTGGATGAATTTTTATTATACTACTAATTGCTCCAAATGCTTAAGCTGTTAAGAGAATGGGCCCAACAACGTATATCAAGCTCAAAAAGCCCTCTCTCACGTGCAACTCTGTCCTGCACGTGGCAGGGGGCAAACAAACCAATCCAAGATCATAATAAATGCATGCAAACTTGCACACCAGAACTAAAATTTTGATACCATGTTAGTTAGACTACCAATTGCTCCAACAGCTTTTCTGATTGATCTCACCATGCGTCTTCTTATGTTTTGCATGTGCATGATGGCTTCTCCAGGAAAAACATCAAAGGTAAGTGCTTCAGGTCTCGTCTTATTGGTTACGTTTCGTCTTATTGGTTACGTTTCCGTCACTAGTAGATGTCTGCCTTTTGATATCACTTTTTTCTTGTCAATATAAATGCCGCCGATCGTTTGTATACCTTTCATATCTTCTTTGCCATCTAAAAACTTGTATCCTCCTGGGTCAAATGCTGGCTAGGAAGATCTCAACCATGGTTTCACTTGATAGTATAATTAGCTTTTAGACATTGTGTAGAAATCAAATGGCCACTTGTGTTTACGTAGTAACATTTTGAAACCACAACTTGGTTGTCAATGTGGAAAACTACAATGCCTTCATTTAACAGAACAAAAGAAATGTGTTTGTTTCTCGAAATCCCGAGTTCAAGTATATATCAATCCAGCTTACCTAAGTGCTATCATATTTTAAAAGGTAACCACAAAGAAAGTCAAGGAGTTTGTTTTTTAACTTTTGAGTAGAGTAATTATGTGAGATAAAAATGGAACCACTCAAAACTGTAGAAATTGTGAACTCAGAAATGAAGTACAAGATAATACTTGTTTCAATTTTTACTCTGAAATAGTGGATTGTGTTTGAACATATCAAAGAGTTGACATGGATGTGATGCTTATCCCTTGCCTCTATATTTGTCATGTCACCGACCTCTTGATTAATTTACTAATAGCTCTGTGTTTGAATGACTTTAAATTCAGTGCTCTCTCACATTCTGTAGGAGAAACCAATTAAGTACCATTTTTTATTTTATTTTATTTTTTTTTCCAATGAAATTCCTCCTGTTGGATGATTGATTCGGAGACTTACGCAGGTCCCAAAGAGTTTCCTACTACAGGTTATTGGCGAAGAGCGTGTTACCAAGTTCGTTATACAAGAAATAGTTAGCTCAACCATGGCTGATTATGTAAAGAAGGCAAGTCGTTTTCACTACTCTTAATCGCCCATTCGATTAATATATATATATATCCGGTAGGTGACATTCCCTCAACTAACTTTTCAAGAATCATCCATCCACCAGGAAAATCTGAATGTAAAGGACAAGAAGATTAACACAACCCAGACGGCAGAAGAACTCAAATTATTGTTTGCTCCTGGAAATGAATTTGGATTTAATGCTATTTTAGAACTTGAAAAAATAGAAACCGAAACAACCAGTTCAAGCACCCCTGAGATTTGAAGTAACAATATTCTCATCTCGGATCATAGATTTTGCTCACCCATTGTATTCTCACTACTCATTCAAGGGAGGAATGTCTTTCAGTGATATTTTCATTGGAGAAGAGCCCGGGTTTATAAAATTATCCTGAAAGACCTCTTTCTTCTTTCTTACTTTTCATAATTATTTCCTAGCTTGAAATTTTTGCTTTCAAAGTTTAGATAGGAACAGAACAATTTCACCAAGGGCATGTCATTTGATTCTGTTCTGCATAATTCATTTATCTGTAAAATGTTCAAAGGGGTCCAGATTCTCTTTTTTATGCCAAGAAGGTGATATCCAAGGGGGGTGCTGTTTTTTGCACACCTGTTTCTCCTTGAATGTGGGTTTTTTGTTAAAGGGATACTGTTTTTTGCATACCCGTTTCAAAAGAGTGTGTGTGTGTGTGTGTGTGTGTGTGTGAGAGAGAGAGAGAGAGAGAGTACCCATTCTAATTAGTAAAGACAGCTATATTGAATATTCTAAACTGTCAGGGATAGTATGCTAAACTTTAAAATCTGATAATTTTTTTGGACTAAACAACTGGTGTTAAAACATAATTGCAGCTAAGGAAAAATGGAAGCAGCTTAAATTATATTCTGCACTGCAAATGGAAACGCAACTGTGCTAAAGAATTCTCAAGGCTTCCACAATTTCATGGTACAATCTTCACTATACGTGGCAACGAGGTTCCTGTGGGGATGATGAGTGATCCCTATGACATCCTTCTCATGCACCTGCAAATATAAGAGAAATACCGCACTTCAGTAAGCAAATATCGGATTCTAACATCAACAAAAAAATAAATAAATAAATAAATAAGTTACAGTGTGCAGATTAAACATTTAGCACTAAAGAAACCAGTTGTGCTTCTTGCAATCTTTTCTCATTCTTTCTTCAAGCTATTCATGTCTTGATAATGGATTAGGCATTTTCCATATGATTAATTACCCGAAAGAGGCATTGCTCGCATGCATGCATGTCTAAAAACACATATGGATGGTTCTGATAACACCAAGTAACACACTCCACAGAAGGGCTAAAAAGGGAACAAAACCAAATATACCTATATACATAAGGATGGTTCTGTTAACACCAAGTAACACCCTCCACATAAGGCCAAAAAAGGGAACAAAACCAAATATACCTATATCTTATAAGGCTATATACAGGAAGTGCAAAAACACCTTAATCAATCACATATGTAAATTTGCATGGTTGAAAATAATGCCCAAATTAAAAATAATAATAATAATAATAATAATAAATGAACAAATAAATAAAAACTTAAATCGCAGTTTATCATTGAAAATATGGCAAACAAACTCGAACTAAGTTGTCGACAAAAAGACTAATTATCTTAATAATAGATTTGGGACCAATTAACAGCAATCTTTAAATGGTAACTCTTATCACCCGACCCCATTGGCCTCCAGAAATTTGAAGCTTACCTTCATTAGATGCTCTAGTTTACCAGATTGGTGGCTGAAGCAGTACAAATTTCTGCACATAATCCACAAATCATTTAGTTAATAATAAAATCAGTATGTGATTAAGGTGAACATATGCTAACAATGATAGTTGACTTCACACTTATTCTGCAGCAACTATTCAAGACAGTCGCATTCCCATCCATATGGGATAAAAGCAGGATCGTGACAAAGATGATGAACCAAATTATCATTATTGCAAGATTTCTTAATTCCATATTGTCAAAATTTAGCCACTAAAAGATTTGAAAATATATTACATAGGAATCAGAAAGTAGGCTAGAGCGTGAAACCCCAATAAGTTTACCCAAATACAAGAAAAACCTACAAATACCAAGACTTGAAAGTAAGCCCTGTCATAAAATCTTCATTTTCCTTGGGCGGTTCATATTTGTAACATTTGAGATAAAAAATGAATACTAGAAATTAAACTTGTCATAACATCTTTATTTTTCCGAGAACTTTTCAACTACATTGCGGATACAAAGCCAATGAATTTAGGAACACTGTCGCTGACATTACATCTTTAAAACTTTCGCCACAAAACATTTCTAAATAAGTATTTTAATATAAAAAATGAGGAAAATTACTGCTTCTACTCATTTTATAAAACTAGAAAAATATTAATTTACTTGATAAAAGAATTAAAGCACGAGCATATTCCATGTGAACCTAAAGAACAACAATCTTTAAAGCCATACCTGTCTTCACCAACACAGTAAATCCATTCCCCTTTTGGTGACACACAAGCTGCAACAAAATCGCCACCTTCTCTTTTACCAGATGATAAGTTCTTCACAACCTGGACAAAAAAACATTAGGAAAGAAAAAATCACAACTTTAATCACTTCAGTTGTGGTTTTTTCACTACAGAATCAGAAAAGGATTTCTCAAAAAGGCAAGATTCTACTTGAAAGCAAAGAAGGAAAGAGAGACTTAACCAGAGTGAAAGCTCAACGGTACATGAACGTAAAATTTACAAGCAATATAAGTCAGATGCTAGAGAAGTCGAAGGTAACTTCACACCAATTTTACCAATGTATACCAAGTAAATCAAGGAAGAGACACAGGTAGTTTGAATACAGGATGGATTAGTCCATCAAAAATCTCATCAAAAGAAAACCTTGTTTTATTATTACCCAGTCCATTGACAGAAACTGAAATTCCAACACCATTACCATAACAGATCTGGTGAGGCAAGCACGCCAAAAGCCTAATTTGTAACAGGTAACCAATTATGTGTGTCAGTAAATATGACTTCGTAATGTCTGTGTGTGGTGCAATTTAAAAGTAAAAGAAAAAGAAAAAAAAAAAAAAAAGGTGGGACCCACTCCAATTTTAAGTCTATGGAATGGGTAATGGGTCATTACTGACCCACTGTTTTTTTTTTTTTCTTCTCCTCTCTCGGTTTACTCCCTCTCTGCCCGCATGCTTTTCTTTTCTTTTTTTTCTTCTACACAATTAAGCTTGATTTCTCCCTCATTTCTTGGCGGATTTAGGTGCTGTTTGAGGCAAAACGAAGCCCACGACGAGCTCTACGCATCCATACGAACAATTCCAGATTTGGTGCCCTTCTTGGAGTTCGAATTTCAAGACCCATTTTAAGGGTTTTGTGCAATCTTGAGGTAGGGGCCCTTAACTCATGATGTTCTTGCTCTTTTGTGAATTATACTTCCTAAATTGTTGAAAAGCATGCTTATTTTTGAATTAATTGTATTAAAGATGATGTAAGTGTTATATGTGAGGTTATGATTAAATGTGTTACTTGAGTTGTATAAGAACATGTTTATTTGACTAATTTCCTTGTCTGATAAATTGATTTACCATGCTTATATTGTTGTAAAACTTGCTAGAATGATATGGGATGGCATGTGTAATTTCCCTAGAGTACTTGTAATGTATGCACAATTGTATAATGTGAAAGCCTTCACTTCCATGGCATTAAGAACATGATGTACATGCATACCATGAGACATGATTGGGAAGATTGTTTTTGAAATGAAAATTGGGAGTTTTGGGGAAAAGTATTTTGATGAAAGTGTTTTTGGAAAACCTGGTCGCCGCGGGGGTACCAAAGGGCCGGAGTGTTAATATAGCCTAGAGGGGACTAGGGAGTCGCCCTAGCGTGGTTGAGCTAGCTGGGCCCCATAATGACGCCGCGGGGTTACCAAGGGTCAGGGACACTAGCCAATCCTCCTCTCGTGTCGTTGCGGGGTCACCAAAGGGCGGGTTATATTAACAGTTTGAAAGAGATGGATTTTAAATATGAAAACGGGGAGTGACATCGGCATGCATTCGCATTTCATGGCATTGCATTGTTTGTACTTAAGTTTGATTGAAATGTTGTATTATCCCGATATTGTATGATCCCCATTCCCATTGACCTATTCTATGCTTGGATTCACGGGGACACAAGATGCGTGTCTTAAGTGTCACCTACTGAGCATATAGCTCACCCTGCATACTTATTATTTTTTTCAGGTCATGGCAAAGAAACGGCGGATGACAATCCTCCGCAAACTTGAAAGTTGTTAGAAGGTTGTTTGCTATTTTGTATTTTGACCATTCTATGTATATTCATAGTTGTGGAAATGTAACTAAGTTAGTATTCATGGCCTTGTAATTTAAGAACGAACTTATCTTTTGTTTAATGTAAATGAAACTAATGGAATCATGGTATATATTTCCATGTAATTGTATCATGTAACGTTGTAAGACATGGACTTTAGATCTTAACCATGTATTTTGGAACTGTAATTATGATAATTTGGATTAATTGGTGTGTGCATGTTCTACCATGAGAGGAACTATGTTGAGGTGTAATGAATGGGATGCTGGAGTATATTTTTTTGTTTTGTGTATTGGGACAGGTTGTTGAAGGACCACTTTTAGGGGAGGTCATGCCAAAAATTTTGTATAAATGGTTTTAGTTTAGGGTCGTTACAAATTTGGTATCAGAGCGATGGTTCGAATACCATTAGTACGACGGGTAGAGGCTTGCCTAGGGTTGTCTGGGAAGTCATTTGCATTGTTATTTCCTTGTTTGGAAAAGTGTTTTGCTATGTGAAAAAACATGCTTAACTGCTTACTTGCTTACGTGCTTATGTGTTTATATGCTTACATTAATGTGTTCATTGCATAGTATTACATGCTAAATGTTTGTACAGTATGTTTTTGCGTTGGGTTGTTCACGGTTGGACCTTAGTGTTAACTTTATTGAATTATTTCCTTTGTTTTATAGAACGATGTCACGGCGTGAGGAAATCAGGGAAGTTGGCCCTAGACCGACTAGGGGTGATGTTGGTGAGAGCTCCAGCTCCAATCCGGAGGAGCTAAATGATGAGGACACACTTCTTAGGGACTTGATTCCCCCGAGAGCTGTCCCCACAAGGAGGGATAATGTTGAAGCACCCGTAGAAGTGGGTGAAGGTTCTGTGACACTGGAGTTTAATCGTTTGTTGCAAAATGTCATGAGGGCAACGATTGCTGCTCAGTCGCAGTCGGCACCACAACCTACAGTTCAAGTTGAGGAGACGCCAGCTCAGAAGCATCTCAAGATTATTAAGGGGTTTTCTCAGCTGATGCCTGTTGTGTTTGAGGGCGGTGCGGATCCAATGATAGCAGATGACTACATGGAGCAAGTTGAAACTCAATTGACTTCTATGGATGTGACAGAGGATCATTTGAAGATCATCCTAGCTACTTATAAGTTTGCTAAGGATGCTAAATTATGGTGGAAGTCGGTTACGAGCCGATACAAGGTAGAAGAGATGAGTTGGGACAAGTTCAAGGAATTGTTTTATGAAAAGTACTTTCCGCTTTCCAAAAGATGGGAGTTACAAGACCAGTTTCATAACCTTATCCAAGGGAGCATGTCAGTGGCAGAATATGAAAACAAGTTCACTTCCCTTTCTCGCTTTGCTCCAGAAATGGTGAGAGATGAAGTTAACAAGACTCGGAAGTTTGTTTCTGATCTTAATGATCGGATGAGGCCGTTGATCACAGCACAGTTCATTAAAGTTTACTCTGAAGCAGTGGAAAGGGCTTTGATGCTGGAAGCTGATAATAAAGAGAAGGATGCAAGAAGAGAGCAGTTAAAGCAAAAGAGGGGTGCAGGGCCATCTTCAGAATGATCTTCTTGGAAAAGGAACAGGGGCGGTCCATCTCAGTTTCAAGGACAGCAGTCTGCACAATTTGCTCCTACCACTCCATTGCCAGCTGGGTCTGATAGGAGTGCAGTTGTTTGCTTTCAATGTCAGCAGCCTGGGCATTACAAGTCCAGTTGTCCCATGAGATTTACTTCAGTTTCTTCAGCTCCGAAGGCTTGTTATGGGTGTGGCCAGCAGGGCCATTTGATTCGGGACTGTCCGAGTCAGAGAGCAGGCACCACTAGTGGCAGAGGGTCACGGCAGAGGCCGTTACAGTCGGCTACGGTTCAATCAGGTTTCAGACCACCGCCGCCACCACCTCAGCCTGCCTTATCTTCTCAGGGTTCACGACCAGTTAGGAGGTATACTCCTACTGTGTCGGCACAACAGTCTGGTGTTCAGATTAGTAGTTCACAGGCACAGGCACCGCAGGGGCGTGTCTTTGCCCTTGCATCATCGACTGATGCATCTCCTGGATCTTCAGTTCTCCGAGGTATATTTCCAGTGTTTGGTTCTTGGGCCCGTGTTTTGTTTGATTCTGGTGCATCTCATTCTTTCATTTCATCATCATTTGCACTTGCATCGGGGTTAGAGGTCAGTTTTATGGATCGGGCGTTATGTGTTGATACGCCAGTTGGAGTTTCAGTATCTTTGAGCCGAGTCGTGAGGGACTGTTCCATTGTGATAGCCGGGCGGACTTTTGTGTTTGACCTTATCCTCCTAGAAATGACTAGCTTTGATGTCATTCCCGGGATGGATTGGTTAGCTTCTTTTCATGCCACGATCGACTGTTTCAGAGAAAGGGTTACAGTTTGTACTCCCGAGGGAGACTGTTTCTTTTTCGTGGGAGATCGGAGTGATTCCCACATTTCATCGTTTTATGGAATTCGTGGACGGAGTCGTGGTGATTACTTTTTGGCTACCCTTATAGCCGAAGAGGATGATGTTGTGGAAGAATATTATCCTGCAATTGTTCGTGATTTTCTGGATGTGTTTCCGGAGGATTTGACAGAGTTGCCTCCACACCGAGAAGTGGAGTTCTCTATTGAGTTAATGCCAAGTACCGCGCCGATTTCTATGGCACCGTATCGTATGGCACCAGTTGAATTGGAGGAATTAAAAAGGCAGCTTGATGATTTGAGGATGAAAGGTTTCATCCGACCGAGTGTGTCACCATGGGGCGCACCGGTCTAGTTTGCTAAGAAGAAAGATGGTTCTTTGAGGTTGTGCATCTATTATCGGAAGTTAATCGCGCCACCATCAAGAACAAGTATCCTTTGCCAAGGATAGATGATTTATTTGATCAGTTGAGGGGAGCCAGTTGTTTCTCCAAGATTGACTTGAGGTCTGGCTATTATCAGTTGCGGGTTAGGGATGAGGATATCCCGAAGACAGCATTCCGTACACGGTATGGACACTATGAGTTCCTTGTTATGCCTTTTGGCTTGACTAATGCTCCAGCGGCATTCATGGACTTAATGAACCGCATCTTTCACGATTACTTAGACCAGTTTGTGGTAGTTTTTGTGGATGACATTCTTGTGTATTCACGATCTCGAGAGGAACACGAGATCCATTTAAGTACTGTTTTACAGATTTTGCAGGAGCACCGGTTGTATGCCAAATATGAGAAATGTGAGTTTTGGCTACAAGA